GGTTGTTAGTGTCAGCCTGTTAGCATGATCTTAGGGCTAGCCTGTTAGCTGGTTGTTAGGGCTAGCCTGTTAGCTTGTTGTTAGGGCTAGCCTGTTAGCATGTTGTTAGTGTCAGCCTGTTAGCATGATCTTAGGGCTAGCCTGTTAGCATGTTGTTAGTGTCAGCCTGTTAGCATGATCTTAGGGCTAGCCTGTTAGCTGGTTGTTAGTGTCAGCCTGTTAGCATGATCTTAGGGCTAGCCTGTTAGCTGGTTGTTAGGGCTAGCCTGTTAGCTTGTTGTTAGGGCTAGCCTGTTAGCATGTTGTTAGTGTCAGCCTGTTAGCATGATCTTAGGGCTAGCCTGTTAGCATGTTGTTAGTGTCAGCCTGTTAGCATGATCTTAGGGCTAGCCTGTTAGCTGGTTGTTAGTGTCAGCCTGTTAGCATGATCTTAGGGCTAGCCTGTTAGCTGGTTGTTAGGGCTAGCCTGTTAGCTTGTTGTTAGGGCTAGCCTGTTAGCATGTTGTTAGGGTTAGCCTGTTAGCTTGTTGTTAGGGCTAGCCTGTTAGCATGTTGTTAGTGTCAGCCTGTTAGCATGATCTTAGGGCTAGCCTGTTAGCATGTTGTTAGTGTCAGCCTGTTAGCATGATCTTAGGGCTAGCCTGTTAGCATGTGGTAAGGGCTAGCCTGTTAGCTGGTTGTTAGGGTTAGCCTGTTAGCATGTTGTTAGGGTTAGCCTGTTAGCTTGTTGTTAGGGTTAGCCTGTTAGCATGTTGTTAGTGTCAGCCTGTTAGCATGTTGTTAGTGTCAGCCTGTTAGCATGTTGTTAGGGCTAGCCTGTTAGCTGGTTTTTAGGGTTAGCCTGTTAGCATGTTGTTAGGGTTAGCCTGTTAGCTTTTTGTTAGGGTTAGCCTGTTAGCATGTTGTTAGTGTCATCCTGTTAGCATGTTGTTAGTGTCAGCCTGTTAGCATGTTGTTAGGGCTAGCCTGTTAGCTGGTTGTTAGGGTTAGCCTGTTAGCATGTTGTTAGGGTTAGCCTGTTAGCTTGTTGATAGGGTTAGCCTGTTAGCATGTTGTTAGGGTTAGCCTGTTAACATGTTGATAGTGTCAGCCTGTTAGCATGTTGTTAGGGTTAGCCTGTTAGCATGTTGTTAGGGCTAGTCTGTTAGCTGGTTGTTAGGGTTAGCCTGTTAGCATGTTGTTAGGGCTAGCCTGTTAGCTGGTTGTTAGGGTTAGCCTGTTAGCATGTTGTTAGGGTTAGCCTGTTAACATGTTGTTAGTGTCAGCCTGTTAGCATGTTGTTAGGGTTAGCCTGTTAGTATGTTGTTAGGGCTAGCCTGTTAGCTGGTTGTTAGGGTTAGCCTGTTAGCATGTTGTTAGGGTTAGCCTGTTAGCATGTTGTTAGGGCTAGCCTGTTAGCATGTTGTTAGTTTTAGCCTGTTAGCATGTTGTTAGGGTTAGCCTGTTAGCATGTTGTCAGGGCTAGCCTGTTATCATGTTGTTAGGGTTAGCCTGTTAGCATGTTGTTAGGGTTAGCCTGTTAGCATGATCTTAGGGCTAGCCTGTTAGCATGTTGTTAATGTTAGCCTGTTAGCATGTTGTTAGGGCCAGCCTGCTAGCATGTTGTTAGGGCTAGCCTGTTAGCATGTTGTTAGTGTTAGCCTGTTAGCATGTTGTTAATGTTAGCCTGTTAGCATGTTGTTAGGGCCAGCCTGCTAGCATGTTGTTAGGGCTAGCCTGTTAGCATGTTGTTAGGGCTAGCCTGTTAGCATGTTGTTAGTGTTAGCCTGTTAGCATGTTGTTAATGTTAGCCTGTTAGCATGTTGTTAGGGCCAGCCTGCTAGCATGTTGTTAGGGCTAGCCTGTTAGCATGTTGTTAGTGTTAGCCTGTTAGCATGTTGTTAATGTTAGCCTGTTAGCATGTTGTTAGGGCCAGCCTGCTAGCATGTTGTTAGGGCTAGCCTGTTAGCATGTTGTTAGGGCTAGCCTGTTAGCATGTTGTTAGTGTTAGCCTGTTATCATGTTGTTAAGGCTAGCCTGTTAGCATGTTGTTAGGCGTTAGACACTCTCTCGATGACCCCCCCACCCAGTCCGACGACTAGGGCAGTTGGTTAACCCATCCTCACCCAGCCTCTCAGACTCACCCATCCTCACCCATCCTCTCCCAGCCTCACCCAGGAGACCCTGAAGTCAGAGACGTTGACCAAAAACAGATTTTCTAGAAGTTTCCTCTGAGAAGCTGCCGATCTTCCTCAGAAGCAGAACCTCCTCCCAGAGATCGGTTCTGTTCTGGTTCTGAGACCCAGAACCAGAGCAGGTGTCTGAATGTAAACCACTTTACCAACCTGTTTCCTGCTCCACCACCTGTTTCAGACAGAAGCAGTCAGTCAGCCAGCCAGTCAGGAGGAGAGAACAACTTTATTTTCTGTTCTTGGACAACAAAGAAAATCAGAAACATCTCACAGTTTGATACGTTTTCACCAGAACATCACTAGAACTACTGGGTGCACTAAACAGTGAGAGACGAGATGTGCCTGCCTGGCTGTGTTCATCATGCTCCGTCCATCCGGATCAGAACATCCAACCGGCTCCCTGATCCAGAACCACTTCTGCTTTATTTCAACTCTTCTCGGTCAAAGGTTCTCCAGACCGTCCTTGTGTGCTCATTGGTCCAAAGAACTGAAGGCAAACCGGACCTCAAGGCAGTTGCTTCTGGACCCGTCTGGACTCGTCCAGGAAGAACGTCCTCTGAACTCGGATCTTCCAGGTTCCTCCTGGGGGGTTCTAGAAGCTGATGGCTGCAGGCAGGCAGGACCTCCTGTAGAGGTCTGTGTTACAGCAGTTCTGACTAAACCTACTCTGGTGGAGGTTGTTGAACCGGTCCCCATAGCAGAACCCGCCCGCTGCCTTCATCAGTTTCTTAAGCTGCTATTAGACCAAGTCTTTGTAAGGATTAGAAAGGTGTCAGAGATGCTCTGCAGGTCTGGGTCAGGCTCCAGGCTGAGTTTATAAACCTCCAGTGTTTATAAACTCTGAACGCAGCTCAGTGAGCAGCGCTGACCCAGAACAGTCTGACAGGCTGCTGCTGCCATCAGCTTCAGACCCGCTGGACCAGAACCACGGCGGCTGGCACCGGATCATCACATCATGACCATATTTGGTCGCTGCCTCCTTTCCAAGAAATGATGTGATTTGGTTGCCCGGGTTACGAGGAGAACTGAGACTGAGACTGAGGGGACATGTGCAGCAAAGGTCCAGAGTTTGGGTTCTGACCCGTTTACCGAGGCCTCGGTCTTTGGTAAGCGGCTCAGGGGTTCTACCCATGGCCTTTACCGTTTGGGTCGGCCCAGCCTGAGCCGGATCAGTCTGATCTTTCTGTTTGATCCAATCCTCTTTTATTAAAATCCGAATGAAAGCCTTCAGAGAACCTTTGACCAAGAACCTCCATAAAGCTGGACCGGAACCATAAACACACCTGGATCTGGATCAGAACTTTCTGCAGAACACAGTGAGCCTCAAACATGCAGCAGGTGAGCTAGTGGAGTGAAAGGTTCCACTGAGAACCAGGACCCAGCTAAGGGAAGTGTGCAGCGTGTTCCCATGGCAACCACAGGATATGGCTTTACTCTGATACGGAGATCAGCTGCATTGGTTCTCTGTGAAGGAGTGGGGAGTATCTACAGGGGCCCGGGGACCAGAACCGAACCAGCAGACGGACCTGAACGGGTCCGAGTGGCTCCGCCTCTGCTCTGCAGCAGCGTTCCCAAACCGGAACAGATCCACAGGAAACGGTTCAGTTCCCTGAGCAACAGGACGGGCTTCATGCAGAACCCGTCCCGCTGATGTCATCGCCATGGACACCAGGTGGACATGCAGGACATTTCTCCAGTGGACTGTTTGGGAACCGGACAGACTGACGGAAAGACGTCCAGAATAAACACAAAGGTGAGAAAATGCATTAGATCCAAAATGTCCGCCGCCAGACGCTCAGTCCTCCACAGGAAGCTGTGGTTCAGGTCAGACGCCGAGGAGACGAGGAGCGGACATGGCCGCTGGGCTCAGGAGGACGGGTTCTCCAGCAGAACCATCCTTCATCTCAACCAGTCAGGGCGGTTTCCATGGTAGCAGCAGAGAGCATGGCGGATCCGTGAAGAAACCAGGACAGCTTAGTGGACTCCAACCAGAACCCATCACCATCCCAGAATAATCTAGAACCTTTTTACTGCCGCCATTTTGTTTCAGCTGCATTTATTTTGAACAATAAAAAAGGAGCAGAAGGATCCATTTATAACTGCTGTTTTTTAAAATAAATATGTTTCTGTTAATTGTTTTAATCGGACCTTTCTGTGTCATTTAATGAAAAATATGAATCCGTTGTAAAAAAAAAAACAAATATTCAAGCCGATTAATTTTGCTGCCAAAATAAAGATTAATTAAAATTGAAACTGATTGAAGAATTGATATTTCTATTCTTTTACTAGCTTGAAGATTAGCTGCTATAATTTTTATAAAAATAAATACGAGCATTTTATGGTGTGCTAATGCTAATGCTAGCATGCTCATGTTTAAGATACATTTATTTTTCTATCATATTTTAAAACAAAGTTGCGTAATATGTGAGAAACGTGCTATTAGCTAGCCTTGCTAAAGATGTTAGCCTGTTTAGCTGAGGTCGTTAACAGGCGCCGTTGGCTTTGACGTAAACCCCAGAGGTTCTTCCTGCTTCCCTGATAAACTAAAAGCAGAAAAACATGGTTTGATATTTTCTGCTGAATCTCAGCTGCTTTTATACGATGTGACATTTTTACAGTTGTGCTTGAAAGTTTACATACCTCCCATTAAAGTAAATGATAAGTAAAAGAACACAAAACCAAAAAAGTTATAAAAATACAAATGTACTAAATTATAATTTAGTCAAATAAAATTTTGATTTTGTAAAACATTAATTCTAAAAAAACAGAAAATCAAATGAAAGCAGCCAATGAAGCGTTTCAATAAGCTGAACCTGAAATCAGGGAAACTCTGAGTTTTCTGTTTCACAGTTTCCTCATCCTCTGTTTCTGTTGCCATGGTAACATCCTGCCACCGCTAACCTGCTTTCCTTCAGTAAACTCAGGGTCCTCTGTCTCTCTCTCCTTACAGCCAATCACGCTGCTTGATTTCCTCATTTAGTTTGGGGGGTTTGTCCTAGTTTTGTGCATAAAAAATATATAATTCTCCAGGTCCTTTAGATGCATTAGGTTTTAAAAACAAACATTGCATGTCTGTTTGACGAGGATCTTAATAAAGAATGATTGGCATTAATTCTCAGAGAATTAAATATTTATAGGGAGAGGATTCTACACTCAGTGACAGGAGAGGAGATTACTGGTTACGGTTTAGTATGAACGAGATGCGGAGCATTTTATTTTTATTTAGTTATTTACACAGTTCATGAAGAACTACTGAGATTATTCTCAGATTACAGATAAATAGATTCATTAATTCCACAGGGAAAAATGAAAAACTTTAGGGTTAGGATTAACTGGATGATGATAACCTCTGAGCCTACTGGCCCAATCTGAAGCCATTCTATGGGACTGATAGCCGCTAATAACGTCCATTTAAATCAAATTCCCTCTCTGTATGTAACCCCTCCTCTCGGGGAGCAGTGGGCTGCCATTGTGCGGCGTTAAGGGTCTTTCTCAGGGACCCAGAGTGGAGGCTGTGGGAGTGGGACTTGAAGTCAGAACCTCTGGATTCTAAGTTCTATGCCCTCCCCCACAAAATGACACTCTTCACATCTAGAATGAATATTCTGGATGTCTATGAATTAATTTCAGATCTCAATATTCCTAATATTACTGTTCATCATCTGTATTATTTTGACTATGAAGGAATTTATTTCAGATATAAATACATTTTTAGTCAAGCTGATAAATGTCAGAACAGACACTTAAAATGTGGAAACATTTCTAGGTAAATAAAACTTAATTCTTATTATAATTTTTTTTACCTTCTGAAATTCAGTTTCTGCTACAAAAATGTAATTAATAAAATCGATTATTACAGTTCAGTCTAGGAGTGTGATTTCTATCTTATTTTAGTGATGTACAAATGGAACATCAGAGTGCTTTTAATAAATGTTAAAACGGCCTGCCATAGACCACTTCATATAAACCCAAGCAGCAATCTCCTCCTTCACCTCTCACTTGTAGCGCTTTTTTAAAACACATTCTCCTTTTTCCCATTTCTTCATTAAATCTCTAGTTCCAGTGGGTGAAATAGGTACTTCCTGTTTCCTGTTGCCATGGTGACTGGTCGAATCAGGGCTTTACCTTCCTGTTACGCAGGCGCCCCACTGTGAGGGGTTCTACTAGGAGTTGATTGAACAATGATAGCAGCTGTTGTGAAACATCAAACTCAGAGTTCCCGACTTTATTCTAGATCATTTTAGAGAGTTAATCCTGCTTTATGAAACTCCATTTCCTGAACGTCACAGAAAACCAGATTTTAGGGATTTTGAGAGCTTAAAGAAAAAGAATTAGAGCTAAACTGTAATTTATGAGCTAATTTCCTTTGCAGTGAGGAGAAATCCCAGGTGAACGCTGCATCCCACAGTCACACCTGAGGGGTAACTAGACTACAACAACCTGGATGTGAGGAAGACGTTAGGATGAGTCTGGGGGTGGGGGGTTGGAGCAGTAGTTTTCAGCTTTGCTGCTAAATCAACCAGACGCAGACAGACGGCAGCCAGACGGTCTGCGATCAGGTGCTCTGAATCACAGCACCTCACTGAGAGCCGCTGGAGGCGCCAAACCGTGTCGTCTTGGTCCCGATCATCCTGAGAGGCTCCGGGTTCCTGCAGAGTCTGAGATGATTCCCACAGACCCCCTCAGGTCCACAGCTTCAGCTTAGAGGCCTCTGGAATGAAAACAGAGAACCGGCAGTGAAGAAGCTTCACTAAGAGTGAAAACAAAGTGCCGCATGGAGCCAAAGCTCAGGGTATTGCTGCTGTAGATTCCTCTGGTTTCACAAGACTCAACTATAAATACTGGTGCTTATCTAGGATCCTTCATTCTGTGAATGAATGAATGAATGAACGAATGAGTGAATTAACAAATGCACGAATGCATGAATGAAGGATTAACTGATTAAAGACAGAGAGCAGCAGTCAGTCCTCCGTCTCTTACGTTAGGAAGCTGAGAGTCTGGTCTGTCCTTTCTGTCGGGTCGTAGTTCCTGTTCTGTTATCAGTCGCCTTCTTTGGTTCCGTCACACCTGAGAAAAACACAAAATCAGACTCATGTCAGCGCTCTGCTGTTAGCATGAGGCCCTGCTGTTAGCATGAGGCCCTGCTGTTAGCATGAGGCTCTAATGTTAGCAGGAGGCTCTGCTGTTAGCATGAGGCCCTGCTGTTAGCATGAGGCTCTAATGTTAGCAGGAGGCTCTGCTGTTAGCATGAGGCCCTGCTGTTAGCATGAGGCTCTAATGTTAGCAGGAGGCTCTGCTGTTAGCATGAGGCTCTGCTGTTAGCATGAGGCCCTGCTGTTAGCATGAGGCTCTGCTGTTAGCAGGAGGCTCTGCTGTTAGCATGAGGCTCTGCTGTTAGCATGAGGCTCTGCTGTAAGCATGACGCTCTGCTGTTAGCATGAGGCCCTGCTGTTAGCATGAGGCTCTAATGTTAGCAGGAGGCTCTGCTGTTAGCATGAGGCCCTGCTGTTAGCATGAGGCTCTAATGTTAGCAGGAGGCTCTGCTGTTAGCATGAGGCTCTGCTGTTAGCATGAGGCCCTGCTGTTAGCATGAGGCTCTGCTGTTAGCAGGAGGCTCTGCTGTTAGCATGAGGCTCTGCTGTTAGCATGAGGCTCTGCTGTAAGCATGACGCTCTGCTGTTAGCATGAGGCCCTGCTGTTAGCATGACGCTCTGCTGTTAGCATGACGCTCTGCTGTTAGCATGAGGCTCTGCTGTAAGCATGACGCTCTGCTGTTAGCAGGAGGCCCTGCTGTTAGCATGAGGCTCTGCTGTTAGCATGAGGCCCTGCTGTTAGCATGAGGCTCTGCTGTTAGCATGAGGCTCTGCTGTTGGCATGACGCTCTGCTGTTAGCAGGAGGCCCTGCTGTTAGCATGAGGCTCTGCTGTTAGCATGAGGCTCTGCTGTTGGCATGACGCTCTGCTGTTAGCAGGAGGCCCTGCTGTTAGCATGAGGCTCTGCTGTTAGCATGAGGCTCTGCTGTTAGCATGACGCTCTGCTGTTAGCAGGAGGCCCTGCTGTTAGCATGAGGCTCTGCTGTTAGCATGAGGCTCTGCTGTAAGCATGACGCTCTGCTGTTAGCAGGAGGCCCTGCTGTTAGCATGAGGCTCTGCTGTTAGCATGAGGCCCTGCTGTAAGCATGACGCTCTGCTGTTAGCAGGAGGCCCTGCTGTTAGCATGAGGCTCTGCTGTTAGCAGGAGGCCCTGCTGTTAGCATGAGGCTCTGCTGTTGGCATGAGGCTCTGCTGTTAGCATGACGCTCTGCTGTTAGCAGGAGGCCCTGCTGTTAGCATGAGGCCCTGCTGTTAGCATGAGGCCCTGCTGTAAGCATGACGCTCTGCTGTTAGCAGGAGGCCCTGCTGTAAGCATGACGCTCTGCTGTTAGCAGGAGGCCCTGCTGTTAGCATGAGGCTCTGCTGTTAGCATGAGGCCCTGCTGTAAGCATGACGCTCTGCTGTTAGCAGGAGGCCCTGCTGTTAGCATGAGGCTCTGCTGTTAGCAGGAGGCCCTGCTGTTAGCATGAGGCTCTGCTGTTGGCATGAGGCTCTGCTGTTAGCATGACGCTCTGCTGTTAGCAGGAGGCCCTGCTGTTGGCATGAGGCTCTGCTGTTGGCATGAGGCTCTGCTGTTAGCATGACGCTCTGCTGTTAGCAGGAGGCCCTGCTGTTAGCATGAGGCTCTGCTGTTAGCATGACGCTCTGCTGTTAGCAGGAGGCTCTGCTGTTAGCAGGAGGCTCTGCTGTTAGCATGACGCTCTGCTGTTAGCATGACGCTCTACTGTTAGCATGAGGCCCTGCTGTTGGCATGAGGCTCTGCTGTTAGCATGACGCTCTGCTGTTGGCATGAGGCTCTGCTGTTGGCATGAGGCTCTGCTGTTAGCATGACGCTCTGCTGTTAGCAGGAGGCCCTGCTGTTAGCATGAGGCTCTGCTGTTAGCATGAGGCCCTGCTGTTAGCATGACGCTCTGCTGTTAGCATGAGGCCCTGCTGTTAGCATGACGCTCTGCTGTTAGCAGGAGGCTCTGCTGTTAGCATGACGCTCTGCTGTTAGCATGAGGCTCTGCTGTTAGCAGGAAGCTCTGCTGTTAGCATGAGGCTCTGCTGTTAGCATGACGCTCTGCTGTTAGCAGGAGGCTCTGCTGTTAGCAGGAGGCTCTGCTGTTAGCATGACGCTCTGCTGTTAGCATGACGCTCTGCTGTTAGCAGGAGGCTCTGCTGTTAGCATGAGGCTCTGCTGTTAGCATGACGCTCTGCTGTTAGCAGGAGGCTCTGCTGTTAGCAGGAGGTCCTGCTGTTAGCAGGAGGCTCGCTGTTAGCATGACACCCTGCTGTTAGCAGGAGGCTCTGCTGTTAGCATGAGGCTCTGCTGTTAGCATGACACCCTGCTGTTAGCAGGAGGCTCTGCTGTTAGCATGACACCCTGCTGTTAGCAGGAGGCTCTGCTGTTAGCATGAGGCTCTGCTGTTAGCATGACACCCTGCTGTTAGCAGCAGGCTCTGCTGTTAGCAGGAGGCTCTGCTGTTAGCAGGAGGCTCTGCTGTTAGCATGACGCTCTGCTGTTAGCATGACGCCCTGCTGTTAGCATGAGGCTCTGCTGTTAGCAGGAGGCTCTGCTGTTAGCAGGAGGCCCTGCTGTTAGCATGACGCTCTGCTGTTAGCAGGAGGCTCTGCTGTTAGCATGACACCCTGCTGTTAGCATGAGGCTCTGCTGTTAGCAGGAGGCTCTGCTGTTAGCATGACGCCCTGCTGTTAGCAGCAGGCTCTGCTGTTAGCAGGAGGCTCTGCTGTTAGCATGACGCCCTGCTGTTAGCAGGAGGCTCTGCTGTTAGCAGGAGGCTCTGCGGCTAGCAGGAGGCTCTGCTGTTAGGATGACGCCCTGCTGTTAGCAGGAGGCTCTGCTGTTAGCAGGAGGCTCTGCTGTTAGCTAAAGCTTAGCATGAATAAATCAGTGAAACCAATGAATCATTTGTTCTACTAAGTCAGTATTTAGCTAAAGCCAGAAACGTTTAAATATTTAGTCAAACATTTATTTCTAGGTGACATTAGAAAAACAGGAGTTAAAAGAGGTTCAGATTAATAATCAGCTGTCATGAAATACTAGCCTACATTCACCGTCCTTCACATCAGGTCAGTCTACAGACTGAAGGCAGCTGGATGTTCTAGATGGATCTAGAACGTTCCACAGGGTTGAAGCTGTGAGCTGCAGGTCTGGGTGTTTTACCTCTGGGTGGTCTGGGCAGCCTGCTCCGGGGGTCACACACACAGGCTGGGGTCAGGACGGGTTCAGAGACGGGTTGGACAGGCTGCAGGAAGGCCACAGTGGGGAAAGGCACTGCTGGGATACGGATCATGGAGTCGGACACGGAGCCGGGAACTCCTGCGAGGCTGCTGTCCTTATAGCTGGCAGGTACTCTCCATCGGGGCAGAGGGGACACGTCTCTGGGGGAGGAACCGGGAACACTGAGGGACTCCTGAGGGGTCGACGAGGATTTGGGAAGGAAGCCGAGGATGGAGGAGAAGAAGGAGCAGGATTCTGGGGGGGGGATAGTCCCGATTCCGCTGTCCAACGTCCGCATCTTGCAGCCCAAGCCTGCAGCAGAAGGAGGACAGCTGAAGCGGCTCCGAGTCGGAAAAAGACACGAGCTGAAGAGGAACGAAGCGGCAGCGAAACCCTGGCTGGAGTGAAACTAAAATACATCAGACATGTTTCTGATCAGATAATCAGGAGAGTCTGATCTATACAGCTGGATCTATAGAGCTGGATCGATAGAGCTGGATCTATAGAGCTGGTCTATAGAGCTGGATCGATAGAGCTGGATCTATAGAGCTGGTCTATAGAGCTGAATCGATAGAGCTGGATCTATAGAGCTGAATCTACAGAGCTGGTCTATAGAGCTGAAACTATAGAGCTGGAACTATAGAGCTGGATCTACAGAGCTGGTCTATAGAGCTGAATCTATAGAGCTGAATCTATAGAGCTGGATCGATAGAGCTGGATCTATAGAGCTGAAACTATAGAGCTGGATCTATAGAGCTGGATCTATACAGCTGGATCGATAGAGCTGGATCTATAGAGCTGGATCTATAGAGCTGGATCTATAGAGCTGGATCGATAGAGCTGGATCTATAGAGCTGGATCTATAGAGCTGAAACTATAGAGCTGGATCTATAGAGCTGAAACTATACAGCTGGATCTATAGAGCTGGATCTATACAGCTGAATCGATAGAGCTGGATCTATAGAGCTGAATCTACAGAGCTGGTCTATAGAGCTGAAACTATAGAGCTGGAACTATAGAGCTGGATCTACAGAGCTGGTCTATAGAGCTGAAACTATAGAGCTGGAACTATAGAGCTGGATCTACAGAGCTGAATCTATACAGCTGAATCTATAGAGCTGGGTCTATAGAGCTGTATCTATAGAGCTGAAACTATACAGCTGGATCTATAGAGCTGAATCTATAGAGCTGGAACTATAGAGCTGAATCTACAGAGCTGAAACTATACAGCTGGATCTATAGAGCTGAATCTATAGAGCTGGGTCTATAGAGCTGGATCTATAGAGCTGAAACTATACAGCTGGATCTATAGAGCTGAATCTATAGAGCTGAATCGATAGAGCTGGATCTATAGAGCTGGATCTATAGAGCTGGATCTATAGAGCTGAATCTACAGAGCTGGTCTATAGAGCTGAAACTATAGAGCTGGAACTATAGAGCTGGATCTACAGAGCTGGTCTATAGAGCTGAAACTATAGAGCTGGGTCTATAGAGCTGGATCTATAGAGCTGAATCTATACAGCTGAATCTATAGAGCTGGGTCTATAGAGCTGTATCTATAGAGCTGAAACTATACAGCTGGATCTATAGAGCTGAATCTATAGAGCTGGAACTATAGAGCTGAATCTACAGAGCTGAAACTATACAGCTGGATCTATAGAGCTGGATCTATAGAGCTGAAACTATAGAGCTGGAACTATAGAGCTGGATCTATAGAGCTGGTCTATAGAGCTGGTCTATAGAGCTGTAACTATAGAGCTGGAACTATAGAGCTGGAACTATAGAGCTGGATCTATAGAGCTGGTCTATAGAGCTGGATCTATAGAGCTGGTCCATCGAGCTGGAACTATAGAGCTGGATCTATAGAGCTGGTCTATAGAGCTGGATCTATAGAGCTGGATCTATAGAGCTGGTCCATAGAGCTGGAACTATAGAGCTGGATCTACAGAGCTGGTCTATAGAGCTGGTCTATAGAGCTGTAACTATAGAGCTGGAACTATAGAGCTGAATCTATATAGCTGGTCTATAGAGCTGGTCTATAGAGCTGGTCTATAGAGCTGGGTCTATAGAGCTGAAACTATAGAGCTGGATCTATAGAGCTGAAACTATACAGCTGGATCTATAGAGCTGGATCTATAGAGCTGGTCTATAGAGCTGGATCTATAGAGCTGGATCTATAGAGCTGAAACTATAGAGCTGGATCTATAGAGCTGGATCTATAGAGCTGAAACTATACAGCTGGATCTATAGAGCTGGATCTATAGAGCTGGTCTATAGAGCTGGATCTATAGAGCTGGTCTATAGAGCTGTAACTATAGAGCTGGAACTATAGAGCTGGATCTATAGAGCTGGTCTATAGAGCTGGATCTATAGAGCTGGTCCATAGAGCTGGAACTATAGAGCTGGATCTATAGAGCTGGTCTATAGAGCTGTAACTATAGAGCTGGAACTATAGAGCTGGATCTATAGAGCTGGTCTATAGAGCTGGTCTATAGAGCTGGATCTATAGAGCTGGTCCATAGAGCTGGAACTATAGAGCTGGATCTATAGAGCTGGTCTATAGAGCTGGTCTATAGAGCTGGTCTATAGAGCTGTAACTATAGAGCTGGAACTATAGAGCTGAATCTATAGAGCTGGGTCTATAGAGCTGAAACTATAGAGCTGAATCTACAGAGCTGGGTCTATAGAGCTGTAACTATAGAGCTGGAACTATAGAGCTGAATCTATATAGCTGGTCTATAGAGCTGAATCTATATAGCTGGATCTATAGAGCTGGATCGATAGAGCTGGATCTATAGAGCTGGAACTATAGAGCTGGTCTGTAGAGCTGTAACTATAGAGCTGGATCTATAGAGCTGGTCTATAGAGCTGGATCTATAGAGCTGAATCTATATAGCTGGATCTATAGAGCTGGATCGATAGAGCTGTAACTATAGAGCTGGATCTATAGAGCTGGAACTATAGAGCTGGATCTATAGAGCTGGAACTATAGAGCTGGATCTATAGAGCTGGAACTATAGAGCTGGTCTGTAGAGCTGTAACTATAGAGCTGGATCTATAGAGCTGGTCTATAGAGCTTGATCTATAGAGCTGAATCTATAGAGCTGGATCTATAGAGCTATATCGATAGAGCTGTATCTATAGAAGTTGATCTATATAGCTGTATCTATGGAACTGGACCTATAGAACTGGATGTATAGAGCTGGTCTATAGAGCTGGATCTATAGAATGAATCTATAGAGCAGCCTCACTTTGTAAAAGTGATTTCTTTAATGGTAGAGATGGCATAAAAGAAGTCAGTGTGAAAATATGAATAGATCCGCTCTGCAGTATGAACTCCTGCTGCTTTCTATCTGCTGATCTGCAGCAGGATCCTTGGTCTCTTAGTTCCACTCCTCCAAAGTCAAACGTTGCAACATCTTTACGGTTAAACCACAAAATAAAATACCAAAATGAAGCGATTCTATGTTGTATAGAGCTAAGCAGCTCTGAGGCATTGCTGTGTTTGATGAGGATCATCATGCAGACATAAAATGCACAGAATGAGGAAGCATGCGGTGAGAAGATCAATCTCTATCTGAATGGAGAGAAAAGAACCAGAACTTTTCAGTCAGCTGTAACTCTCCCTATGATGCTTCATACTTTGATCTTTTTGACTTTATGCAGCTGATTTTTAAGAAAAAATAAAAACCAAAGCAGGTGGCAGGAAGAAGCTTCCATGTGGTTCCCAGAGGCTGAGGTTTAAACTGGCACACGTCAGTTTCCAGGTTTCTAAAGGGCCGAGTTCTCTTCACTGATTGGTTAGAATCACATCAGACCAATAAAAGCTGCCGGATCGCAGGAAACCATAAACGGTAGTTTGATCCGCAGGAGCAGAATCAGCTGATTGGTTCCAACAAGCCTCCATCATGGATGGTGAGGTTGGTCTCTCTGCAGAGCCATTAGATTACGCAATCCAAGATTACCACCCGATTATTCTCTGTAAAACCAAGATGGCTGCAGGACCGCGGTTAGCGAAGCTGCAGGACAGAGGAGACCAAAGCTGACATGTTGGATCATGATGGGTAGAACCACAGCAGGAGTTCTGCTCCGTAGACCTACGGATTCTAGAGTCTAACAGGAGTCCAACCAACAATAATCCCAAACAGCAGAGATGGATCAATGCGCTGCAGTGGCCTAGTCAAAGTATCTGCTGGGTCATGTTCAGTTTCTCTGATGATAGCCTCGTATTTGGGACTGAATGATGACGGAGTGGGAACTTTATCCTGGTTCCAAACTCTGATCCAAACTGGTTCTGGACCAGAGGAACCCTAACCACTGGGATTAGACTAAAGGGAGCAGGAAGGAACTGTTCTAAAGACTAGTTACCCTGGTTAAGGAATAATCTGGTTAGGGGGTTAGTTAATCTGGTTAAGGGGTTGGTTAATCTGGTTAAGGGTTAGTTAATCTGGTTAAGGGGTTGGTTAATCTGGTTAAGGGTTGGTTAATCTGGTTAAGGGGTTGGTTAATCTGGTTAAGGGTTAGTTAATCTGGTTAAGGGGTTGGTTAATCTGGTTAAGGGTTGGTTAATCTGGTTAAGGGTTAGTTAATCTGGTTAAGGGTTGGTTAATCTGGTTAAGGGGTTGGTTAATCTGGTTAAGGGTTAGTTAATCTGGTTAGGGGGTTAGTTAATCTGGTTAAGGGGTTGGTTAATCTGGTTAAGGGTTGGTTAATCTGGTTAAGGGTTAGTTAATCTGGTTAAGGGGTTGGTTAATCTGGTTAAGGGTTAGTTAATCTGGTTAAGGGGTAGTTAATCTGGTTAAGGGGTTGGTTAATCTGGTTAAGGGTTGGTTAATCTGGTTAAGGGTTAGTTACTCTGGTTAAGGGTTGGTTAATCTGGTTAAGGGGTTGGTTAATCTGGTTAAGGGTTAGTTAATCTGGTTAAGGGTTAGTTAATCTGGTTAAGGGGTTGGTTAATCTGGTTAAGGGTTGGTTAATCTGGTTACGGGGTTGGTTAATCTGGTTAAGGGTTAGTTAATCTGATTAAGGGTTGGTTAATCTGGTTAAGGGGTTAGTTAATCTGGTTAAGGGTTAGTTAATCTGGTTAAGGGTTAGTTAATCTGGTTAAGGGGTTGGTTAATCTGGTTAAGGGTTGGTTAATCTGGTTAAGGGTTAGTTAATCTGGTTAAGGGGTTGGTTAATCTGGTTAAGGGTTGGTTAATCTGGTTACGGGGTTGGTTAATCTGGTTAAGGGTTAGTTAATCTGATTAAGGGTTGGTTAATCTGGTTAAGGGGTTAGTTAATCTGGTTAAGGGTTAGTTAATCTGGTTAAGGGTTAGTTAATCTGGTTAAGGGGTTGGTTAATCTGGTTAAGGGTTGGTTAATCTGGTTACGGGGTTGGTTAATCTGGTTAAGGGTTAGTTAATCTGATTAAGGGTTGGTTAATCTGGTTAAGGGGTTGGTTAATCTGGTTAAGGGTTAGTTAATCTGGTTAAGGGTTGGTTAATCTGTTTAAGGGATTGGTTAATCTGGTTAAGGGATTTTAATCTATCTAAAATTAGTGTTGTCGGCCTCGGCAGATGGCCGCTCACACTGAGCCTGGTTCTGCTGGAGGTTTCTTCCTGTTAAAAGGGAGTTTTTCCTCTCCACTGTCGCTACAAGCATGCTTAGTGTGGGGGATTGTATTTGAGTCAATGAGTCAATGCAATCAACTGGTTTTCCTTAGATAGAAAACTTTGTATCAATTTGACTGTATGATCTGGTTGAACTGGAAAGTGCCTTGAGATGACATGTGTTGTGAATTTGGTGCTATATAAATAAACTGAATTGAATTGAATTGTTGCTTCGGTGTGTAAGTTTGCCTAAACAATGTGGGACTCTGTAATTTTCTCTGGTCCCCTCCCTGATCTGACCAGTGATGACATGTTTAGCCGCATGTCGTCATTCAACCGCTGGTTGTCTAGGTGGTGCCCTGAAAACAACGTGGGCTACATTAATAATTGGCAATCCTTTTGGGGAAAGCCTGGTCTGATTCGGAGAGACGGCATCCATCCCACTTTGGATGGTGCAGCTCTTCTTTCTAGGAATCTGGCCACATTTATTAGTCCTCCAAAACCCTGACCCCCCAGGGTGCAGACCAGGAAGCAGAGTCCTAGTTTAACAGACCTCTCTGCAGCTTCTCTACTGTTACCCACTCTTTACTCCATCCAGACAGTGTCTTGCCCACGACCAAAATCTAATAAATTAGTAAATATTCCCAAAGGAGTAAATCATGATAATCTAATTAAAATCAAAATAACTCCAATTGGTGAAAAAGTTAAAACAATTAAATGCGGTCTGTTTAACATAAGATCTCTTTCCTCTAAAAGTCTACTAGTTAATGACTTGATTTGTGATAATCACATTGACTTGTTTTGCCTTACAGAAACCTGGCTGCAGCAAGAGGATTATGTGAGCATAAATGAGGCAACTCCTTCAAGCTATTTACATTTTCACATACCCAGAAGTTCTGGGCGAGGAGGAGGAGTAGCAACAATCTTCCAGTCTGACTTACTGATTACTCCCAAAACAGTTAATACCTACAACTCTTTGAACATTTAACCCTTAATTTGCCTGATCCAAATTTCAAGGCAAGAAAACCTCTTCTTTTTGTAACTTTGTATCGTCCACCAGGTCCTTACTCTGAATTTTTAGATGAGTTTTCAGAGTTCCTTTCTGATTTGGCATTAAATACTGACAGCTTCATCATAGTGGGAGATTTTAACATCCATGCTGACATTGAAGGCGATAGCTTAAGAGCAGCCTTTAATGCTATCTTAGACACTATTGGCTTTGTTCAAAATGTGAATAGTCCCACACATTCTCATCTTCATACTTTGGATCTTGTGCCGAAATACGGCATAGAATGTGAAGAAATAACAGTATTTCCTCACAACCCTGTCCTCTCTGACCACTTTCTAATAACCTTAAAGGAATAGTACACCCAAAACATGATTAGCCTTCATTTTCTACTCACCCCCATGCTGAACAACACTCTGGAGTACTTTTTTGATATCTCAAATGCATCTGGAGATCTGGGAGGCTTCTTGCTGTCTGCTGACATTCAAATAATGGAGGTCTATGGCGCCCGAGGCAGCAAGGTCCATAAAATGAATATTGACACGTTTTTTGTGGACTTTTATGGACCTTTCTGTCTCGGGCGCCATAGACCTCCATTATTTGAATGTCAGCAGACAGCAAGAAGCCTCCCAGATCTCCAGATGCATTTGAGATATCAAAAAAGTACTCCAGAGTGTTGTTCAGCATGGGGGTGAGTAGAAAATGAAGGCTAATCATGTTTTGGGTGTACTATTCCTTTAAGGAGGTATTCCCTTTGATCTCCTCCTCCATTCTAGATGTGATTAATCTATCTCTGTTACAGGGATATGTACCTAAAGCTTTTAAGGTTGCTGGAATTAAACCTCTGCTTAAGAAACCGTCTCTTGACCCAGATGACTTGGTCAATTATAGACCTATATCCAATCTTCCTTTCTTATCCAAAATTCTTGAGAAAGTAGTTGCCAAACAAGTGTGCGATCACTTCCACCATAATGAACTTTTTGAAGAGTTTCAGTCTGGCTTTGGAGCTCATCATAGCACTGAAACAGCTCTGGTGAAAGTCACTAATGATATTCTCATGGCCTCAGATAATGGACTTGTATCTGTGCTCGTCCTGTTGGATCTCAGTGCTGCATTTGATACAGTTGATCAGAATATTCTTTTAGAAAGACTTGAATATTTTCCGAAGGGTTTCTAAAATGTTTGGACCAAATTATTTTTTAACACTTTATCTTTTCTTTCTCATGATTAACTTTTCTTTGTTTCCTTTCTTTTCTTTCTTAACCTTGTCGCCTCTCTGCGGCAGTTCAGAACACGTGTCTCATTCAGAAGGCACTAACAGGTGGATGTGTGACGATGGAGGAGAAAGCAGGAGGAGAAGGTTCCATGTCTGACTGATGGAGGCCTGCTGAGGAGGAATCCAGATGTTTTTGGTTTAGATGTTGGAGCAAATCAAATGAAATCACTGATGTCATGAAGAAGCAGCACAAACTGACAGAACTCGGCATTTTTCAGTTTGTTTGACTAGTTTTAGTGTTTTCACTGTTAGACGTCATGACTTACACACGTCTGTCATGTTTGGTCTTCACTTCTGTCTGCAAACTGTAAAATGGTAAAAGCACAGACACCAGCTTAATGCCACTGACCACCGGCTAAAGGCCGGCCATCATCAGGGGCCCGCACTGCGGCAGGTACCAGCAGGGAACACGGGTCCTGACCTATCGCCCCCTCCTGGCTGGGGCTCCTCACTGCGGATCCATTCTCACCATCAGGTCTGCGGCTCGGCATCTGCATGGTCAGAGAAATCAGATGATTAGTTAGCATAAAGTCCTGTTAGCTGCATCTGCTCCTCAAACTGCAGAGCTGCTATAGCAGGGACCCGGGGCCACGGACCCGGGGCCACTGACCCGGGGCCACTGAAGAGCTGCTATAGCAGGGACCCGGGGCCACGGACCCGGGGCCACTGACCCGGGGCCACTGAAGAGCTGCTATAGCAGGGACCCGGGGCCACTGCAGAGCTGCTATAGCAGGGACCCGGGGCCACGGATCCGGGGCCACTGCAGAGCTGCTATAGCAGGGACCCGGGGCCGCTGCAGAGCTGCTATAGCAGGGACCCGGGGCCGCTGCAGAGCTGCTATAGCAGGGACCCGGGGCCGCTGCAGAGCTGCTATAGCAGGGACCCGGGGCCGCTGCAGAGCTGCTATAGCAGGGACCCGGGGCCGCTGCAGAGCTGCTATGGCACGGACCCGGGGCCGCTGCAGAGCTGCTATGGCACGGACCCGGGGCCGCTGCAGAGCTGCTATAGCAGGGACCCGGGGCCACTGCAGAGCTGCTATAGCAGGGACCCGGGGCCGCTGCAGAGCTGCTATGGCACGGACCCGGGGCCGCTGCAGAGCTGCTATAGCAGGGACCCGGGGCCGCTGCAGAGCTGCTATAGCAGGGACCCGGGGCCACTGAAGAGCTGCTATAGCACGGACCCGGGGCCACTGCAGAGCTGCTATGGCACGGACCCGGGGCCACTGCAGAGCTGCTATGGCACGGACCCGGGGCCGCTGCAGAGCTGCTATAGCAGGGACCCGGGGCCGCTGCAGAGCTGCTATGGCACGGACCCGGGGCCGCTGCAGAGCTGCTATAGCAGGGACCCGGGGCCGCTGCAGAGCTGCTATGGCACGGACCCGGGGCCACTGCAGAGCTGCTATAGCAGGGACCCGGGGCCGCTGCAGAGCTGCTATAGCAGGGACCCGGGGCCGCTGCAGAGCTGCTATAGCAGGGACCCGGGGCCGCTGCAGAGCTGCTATAGCAGGGACCCGGGGCCGCTGCAGAGCTGCTATAGCAGGGACCCGGGGCCGCTGCAGAGCTGCTATAGCAGGGACCCGGGGCCGCTGCAGAGCTGCTATGGCACGGACCCGGGGCCGCTGCAGAGCTGCTATAGCAGGGACCCGGGGCCGCTGCAGAGCTGCTATAGCAGGGACCCGGGGCCGCTGCAGAGCTGCTATAGCAGGGACCCGGGGCCACTGCAGAGCTGCTATAGCACGGACCCGGGGCCGCTGCAGAGCTGCTATAGCACGGACCCGGGGCCGCTGCAGAGCTGCTATAGCAGGGACCCGGGGCCACTGCAGAGCTGCTATAGCAGGGACCCGGGGCCACTGCAGAGCTGCTATAGCAGGGACCCGGGGCCGCTGCAGAGCTGCTATAGCAGGGACCCGGGGCCGCTGCAGAGCTGCTATAGCAGGGACCCGGGGCCACTGCAGAGCTGCTATAGCACGGACCCGGGGCCACTGCAGAGCTGCTATGGCACGGACCCGGGGCCGCTGCAGAGCTGCTATAGCAGGGACCCGGGGCCACTGCAGAGCTGCTATGGCACGGACCCGGGGCCGCTGCAGAGCTGCTATAGCAGGGACCCGGGGCCGCTGCAGAGCTGCTATGGCACGGACCCGGGGCCACTGCAGAGCTGCTATAGCAGGGACCCGGGGGCCGCTGCAGAGCTGCTATGGCACGGACCCGGGGCCGCTGCAGAGCTGCTATAGCAGGGACCCGGGGCCGCTGCAGAGCTGCTATGGCACGGACCCGGGGCCGCTGCAGAGCTGCTATAGCAGGGACCCGGGGCCGCTGCAGAGCTGCTATGGCACGGACCCGGGGCCACTGCAGAGCTGCTATAGCAGGGACCCGGGGCCGCTGCAGAGCTGCTATGGCACGGACCCGGGGCCGCTGCAGAGCTGCTATAGCAGGGACCCGGGGCCGCTGCAGAGCTGCTATAGCAGGGACCCGGGGCCACTGAAGAGCTGCTATAGCACGGACCCGGGGCCACTGCAGAGCTGCTATGGCACGGACCCGGGGCCGCTGCAGAGCTGCTATAGCAGGGACCCGGGGCCGCTGCAGAGCTGCTATAGCAGGGACCCGGGGCCGCTGCAGAGCTGCTATGGCACGGACCCGGGGCCGCTGCAGAGCTGCTATAGCAGGGACCCGGGGCCACTGAAGAGCTGCTATAGCACGGACCCGGGGCCGCTGCAGAGCTGCTATAGCAGGGACCCGGGGCCGCTGCAGAGCTGCTATAGCAGGGACCCGGGGCCGCTGCAGAGCTGCTATAGCAGGGACCCGGGGCCGCTGCAGAGCTGCTATGGCACGGACCCGGGGCCGCTGCAGAGCTGCTATAGCAGGGACCCGGGGCCACTGAAGAGCTGCTATAGCACGGACCCGGGGCCGCTGCAGAGCTGCTATAGCAGGGACCCGGGGCCGCTGCAGAGCTGCTATAGCACGGACCCGGGGCCGCTGCAGAGCTGCTATAGCAGGGACCCGGGGCCACTGCAGAGCTGCTATAGCAGGGACCCGGGGCCACTGCAGAGCTGCTATAGCAGGGACCCGGGGCCACTGCAGAGCTGCTATAGCAGGGACCCGGGGCCGCTGCAGAGCTGCTATGGCACGGACCCGGGGCCGCTGCAGAGCTGCTATAGCAGGGACCCGGGGCCACTGCAGAGCTGCTATAGCAGGGACCCGGGGCCACTGCAGAGCTGCTATAGCACGGACCCGGGGCCGCTGCAGAGCTGCTATGGCACGGACCCGGGGCCGCTGCAGAGCTGCTATAGCAGGGACCCGGGGCCACTGCAGAGCTGCTATAGCAGGGACCCGGGGCCACTGCAGAGCTGCTATAGCAGGGACCCGGGGCCACTGCAGAGCTGCTATAGCAGGGACCCGGGGCCGCTGCAGAGCTGCTATAGCAGGGACCCGGGGCCGCTGCAGAGCTGCTATAGCAGGGACCCGGGGCCGCTGCAGAGCTGCTATAGCAGGGACCCGGGGCCAGCTGCAGAGCTGCTATAGCAGGGACCCGGGGCCACTGCAGAGCTGCTATAGCAGGGACCCGGGGCCACTGCAGAGCTGAGCTGCTATAGCAGGGACCCGGGGCCGCTGCAGAGCTGCTATAGCAGGGACCCGGGGCCACTGCAGAGCTGCTATAGCAGGGACCCGGGGCCGCTGCAGAGCTGCTATAGCAGGGACCCGGGGCCACTGCAGAGCTGCTATAGCAGGGACCCGGGGCCACTGCAGTGCTGCTATGGCACGGACCCGGGGCCGCTGCAGAGCTGCTATAGCAGGGACCCGGGGCCGCTGCAGAGCTGCTATAGCAGGGACCCGGGGCCGCTGCAGTGCTGCTATGGCACGGACCCCGGGGCCGCTGCAGAGCTGCTATAGCACGGACCCGGGGCCGCTGCAGTGCTGCTATAGCAGGGACCCGGGGCCGCTGCAGTGCTGCTATAGCACGGACCCGGGGCCGCTGCAGTGCTGCTATAGCAGGGACCCGGGGCCACTGCAGAGCTGCTATAGCAGGGACCCGGGGCCGCTGCAGAGCTGCTATGGCACGGACCCCGGGGCCGCTGCAGAGCTGCTATAGCAGGGACCCGGGGCCGCTGCAGAGCTGCTATGGCACGGACCCGGGGCCGCTGCAGTGCTGCTATAGCAGGGACCCGGGGCCGCTGCAGAGCTGCTATGGCACGGACCCGGGGCCGCTGCAGAGCTGCTATGGCAGGGACCCGGGGCCGCTGCAGAGCTGCTATAGCAGGGACCCGGGGCCGCTGCAGAGCTGCTATAGCAGGGACCCGGGGCCGCTGCAGAGCTGCTATAGCAGGGACCCGGGGCCGCTGCAGAGCTGCTATAGCAGGGACCCGGGGCCACTGCAGAGCTGCTATGGCACGGACCCGGGGCCGCTGCAGAGCTGCTATAGCAGGGACCCGGGGCCGCTGCAGAGCTGCTATAGCACGGACCCGGGGCCGCTGCAGTGCTGCTATAGCAGGGACCCGGGGCCGCTGCAGAGCTGCTATGGCACGGACCCGGGGCCGCTGCAGAGCTGCTATAGCAGGGACCCGGGGCCGCTGCAGAGCTGCTATAGCAGGGACCCGGGGCCGCTGCAGAGCTGCTATAGCAGGGACCCGGGGCCGCTGCAGAGCTGCTATAGCAGGGACCCGGGGCCACTGCAGAGCTGCTATGGCACGGACCCGGGGCCACTGAAGAGCTGCTATAGCAGGGACCCGGGGCCGCTGCAGAGCTGCTATAGCAGGGACCCGGGGCCGCTGCAGAGCTGCTATAGCACGGACCCGGGGCCGCTGCAGAGCTGCTATAGCAGGGACCCGGGGCCGCTGCAGAGCTGCTATAGCACGGACCCGGGGCCACTGAAGAGCTGCTATAGCAGGGACCCGGGGCCGCTGCAGAGCTGCTATAGCAGGGACCCGGGGCCGCTGCAGAGCTGCTATAGCAGGGACCCGGGGCCACTGCAGAGCTGCTATGGCAGGGACCCAGGGCCACTGAAGAGCTGCTATAGCAGGGACCCGGGGCCGCTGCAGAGCTGCTATAGCAGGGACCCGGGGCCGCTGCAGAGCTGCTATAGCAGGGACCCGGGGCCACTGCAGAGCTGCTATAGCAGGGACCCGGGGCCGCTGCAGAGCTGCTATAGCACGGACCCGGGGCCGCTGCAGAGCTGCTATAGCAGGGACCCGGGGCCACTGCAGAGCTGCTATAGCAGGGACCCGGGGCCGCTGCAGAGCTGCTATGGCAGGGACCCGGGGCCACTGCAGAGCTGCTATAGCAGGGACCCGGGGCCGCTGCAGAGCTGCTATAGCAGGGACCCGGGGCCGCTGCAGAGCTGCTATAGCAGGGACCCGGGGCCGCTGCAGAGCTGCTATAGCACGGACCCGGGGCCGCTGCAGTGCTGCTATAGCAGGGACCCGGGGCCGCTGCAGAGCTGCTATGGCACGGACCCGGGGCCGCTGCAGAGCTGCTATAGCAGGGACCCGGGGCCGCTGCAGAGCTGCTATGGCACGGACCCGGGGCCCATGGAGGCTGGACTTGGACACCCACAATCTTACAGAAAGTAGCGCTGAGATCTAAACCAGTTCCTCCATTTCACACATTCCAGAAACAGTCTGTAATTCTTTCCTAACAGCGTCGGGTTTTATTTCAGCGTTAACAGAATAATAAGGCTTCGTCTATAAAGACTCAAACTCACTGCGGATTCAGACGTTAGAACTGAGAAAGCTTCCTGGATGGGAAGAGAAACGTCTTAAAACCTTGGAAACCAAGTCCAGCGGATGTTTCTTGAATTTTTAAGGAAGGGGTACCAAAATAATCATTTTAAAAATCATTATCAATTATGAAACAAGAAACGTTGCTTTAATTGCTTTATCCAAATTGTGTAAATAATAATCATATGTTTTAATGAGACTCTTTGTTGGATTAATTTCCCAGGATTGAGGATTAAGCTCAGATTTAACCCTGCAGTTCGAGGTCAGAGGTCAGATGCTACAGGCACCAGTTGAAATGTTAACAATGATGATATAATAAATACATACAAATAATAATTAATAATTATAACAGTTTTTATAAAAATAACATCATTATAATTTTTGATCATTATTAATTAATGAGGGCGGGACTTCCAGCTGTCACTTTGGAATGTGGGCGTGGTTTCGAGATTTGATGAACTATGACTTCTGATTATTCTAATGATTTGGAATCAATCAACTGATCCTAATCTGGATCTTCTTTCATAATTTCACTGTCTGGATTAAGTTTGAGTTTCTATTTGAGATAAACGAGTCGACAGGAAGCCTTTACCTGAGGATCCCCTATGAGGTGGGCGTGTCCTTGGACCTCACTGAGGGACATTCCTGGGCAGGGCATGGAGATGCATGCCCGGACTGCATCATGTGACTCTCTTATTCCCACAGAGCTGAAAAAATAAAACCATTCATCAACATTTTCCAGTCTAGTTAAGTTGACTGAAGCTGCCAGGACTGGGCCACCAGACGAGGAAGTCTGGGATCTGACGGTTTTCTTCTACCTGGTCCTTAAGCCACCCTGCCCTGAACCTCTGCTTCACTTCAACTGCTTTCCATTGATTTGTTGGACGTTAAACATCTGAATCAGGAGTTTTAAATGTAGGAAAATTCTGGACTGTGTCTTAAGAACCAGTAGTGAGAACAGATTCAGTCACTTCTAGACTCAGAGAATATGCTTTTGTTTTCAGGAACTCTTACCAATCTTTTCCATCACTTTTCCGTCTGTCTTTCTTCTTGTCAGACTTTGCACTTTTTCCTCCCAGCAGAGATGTAATCTTTTGTTCCCGCTTTTCTTTTTTGGCTTCTGGCGGATCCGTCTTTTTGTTGCTTGGAGCAGGAAGCTTACTCTTACGGAATCCAAACCAACTAGCAATGCTAGAGCCTGACTTGGGCTTCACTTCACTAGTTTTCTCATTTTCCTGGGACTTGTGCAAGTTCTCCTCAATCCCAAGCATCACTTTCTCTTCAATGGTGGTTATAGTGCTTTGTCTCTCCGGTTCTTCAGAGACCGGCTCTCCAAAGGCGCTTGAAAACTGTTGCTCGATCTGAAGCCGCCTGGCCTGCTCTCGCTGGAGTTTAAGACTTTGAAGTTTTTCACTGGAGGACCCCAAGTGAGAGGGAACCCTTAACCCTTCTTCAATCAAAAAGTTGTTGAGAAGTGATCTATTCATCGGACAGTGGTAGCTGCTGGAGCAGCTCATACTACCTGGAAGGACGTCTCCAAGAGAATTGAGGGAGCTCCCTGAATGGGTTTTGATCTGGGTACGTACCTTTCCAGATCTGTTGAAACTCTGCCTGTCAATGTAGCGCGCGCCGAAGCTCTGACTACGAGCCTTAGCTCCATTCATGCCCAGAACTGGCTTTAGAAGAGGTCTGGTAGAAACAGATACGGACCGTTTAAAGAGCCAGCCCTGCTCATCGAATCCCCAGTCTAACATCCCACTAGTGTCAGATCCAACAGGCTGAAGTGGCTCAGAATCCAGGGAGTTACAGCGGGTCTCAATCTTCCTACAAGATGTCTCCCGTTCACCATAGTTATGCATCACATGGGGATCACATCTAAACGTCTGGAGTGTCTGAAGACTGTGTGCTTCATCTTTACTCTGTCCTCCAAAAACCAGAAAGGTAGTCCCGTTATGTCCAGAGATTGCTTCATGAGATCTGGCATTCACAGGAAGAGACCTCTTTACAGCATTGGAAGTGGAGGTCTGGGGATTACCCGGCATCCCATGGTGGAAAACATGAGAGAAAGTAGTGGGCAAGACTTCAGAAAGTTTTGGCTCACTGATGCTCTGTTGGGATCTTTGCAGAATATTCTGATTTGTTGACATACTGGGAGCTCCGTTCCCATTGGGGCATGAGATGATTCTATCGAGCTGAAACGAATCTGAAGGCTCTGATTCTTGAACAGGGACATGAGGGATGTTTGATGGATTGGAGAGGCAGACTGAGCTAGGAATATCTGTCCTTTTTGGGTCTTCATCTGTTTTCATGTTGGATTGTTGAGTTTCTAGAGCAGAACTGACCTCAGGATTTGTCTTAGCCATAGCTGATGATGGCTTGCCAGTGGTTGAACTTTGAATCGGACTTGTCACATTTTTGTCTTTGGTTGCGCACTCTGAGACGGATCTAAGGAGAAGGGAAGTAGTTCGACCCGGTGGTAGGGGTGGAGATGGAGACCTTTGTTCCGATCTCAGCCGATCACAGTCTTGTTCTTGGCGTCTCTGTTTCTGTGGTGAACATGGCAGGTTGTCATAGATGTTCTCTTCAATAGAATCATTGCTAGAGACTCTAGCTGATTGGTTAGTGGGACTCTTTGGGCTATCTTTAATGCCTGGTGACTTAAGAATCTTTGACTGTTTTACAGGAGATGCAAGTGGAGACAGCTGTGGCACACTCTCAAGAGACTTGGAACCTGCTGACACCAAAACATCTTGGTCTTTCTCCATTTGAGCTAATGTGCATTGGCTTGAGGTGTGAGGGTTTGCCCTTTTGGCTGGAACACTGGGAGCTAGCGAGCGTGGGCTTTGCTGCCCTTTGGACCTTTGACCCTTGATAAGCTTCTGATGGAGAGGAGAGTGGGTATGCTTAAGTTGTTCTTGGCCTCCATCTGCACTCTTGCTTCGCAGGATAAACGCCTTCCTCGCCGAGTCACAAAAGTGCAGTTTTGGCCTCCTCTGTGGCGATTCTGAGCTGGTCCAGGCCTTGCTTTCCCAGCCGGCTTGGTTTGCCTGGTCTCTGCAGTGAGGCACCTCCATGGAGGAGCTTCGCTGTCTGGCTTCATTCATACAGCTTAGAGCTCTTGTTGCAGAATGCTGAACTAATGAACTGACATCATTTAGCTCTGCTTCTGTTTGTTTGATGGGAAGTCTAGCTTGTTGTCTTTTATTAGAATCAAGTCTGGATTTACGGTCAGTGGACCGTTCTTGGTTGTTATTCCTATCGCTGATCTTCTGGACAGAAAATATTTGCTCATCCAGTGAGTTCTTGTTCATCCCTGCAGACCTTGTAAGGCTATCTGTTGGGCTCACTCCAGGTTTGACTGTGGGTCCCTCTAAATATAGGAAGTTGTCAAAGTCAGGTGAAGGAAAAAGACCAGAATTAGCTGGAATAGATGAGTTTTCTCGCAGAGCTTTTTCGTCAGCCTCTGTGACTATCAGTGTGTCCAAATGAAGATGTTTTTTTGTTGCTCGGTCACCTGATTCTGTTGAACGGGATTTCTCATCTGGATCTTCAATGTCCAGGATGGAAGCCCCTGTATCAGTGCTTACAGGTTTACATATTGGAGGTTTCTTGGAAGGAGAACCTTGTTGGCGTGACTTGACACCAGAAGAGTATATACCCTCGTTTGAGGTCATACAGTCTTTGCAGTGTGATGCTGCAGCTGAGGTTGCCTCTTTGGACTTGTTCATCTGAAGATGCTTTAGGCCTCTCAGAATATGGCCCTCTTTCCATCCCAGGTCAGTTTGCTCAATGAAGACTGAATGATTGCTGGATACTGAGCCTGTACTCATCCGTTTGTCACGGCTGGGGCCACACTGTGGGGACATTAATAAATGTTTAATTGTTCTTTAAGCATAAGGTCAGTGACACGAGATAAAGAGAACCTAAACCGTACCTGTTTGGAGAAACCCCGTCCGTCTGCCCAGGTATGAGACCCGCTGGAGTATTCGCTGCCAGCACTGGACAGAGACAGCTCACTGCTGCTGCCGCTGCCACTACTCCGTGGACACGTTAGGCTCAGCAGGCTGGGCCATCTTCCAGCTGCGATACTTTTGGCCTTTCCGTTTCGTAGGACCTCCTGGAAAAGATTTTAAAACTCAACCACTGGATATATAAATTATGCAAAAACCAAAGTATAAGGGAATAGATACACATGCAGAAGGTTGAACAATGACCCTCATTCCAATCACAAATGATCACAATAGGTTCCTCTAACAAGTTACCCTGCTGCCCTCTGCTGGTGCTTCCTGAAACGGCTTGAATAATATATCTGGTAAAGGTTTGATTATGGGGGGATTTTCACCTGATGATGCCTCATCACGCCCACAGAGGATTGTTTGTTTGACTGAATCTTTTGATGCCACCATGTTGAGCTCAGTGCTTCCCCAACTAGGGCACAGAGGAAGACGGTCAGCTGGCAGAACTAGGTCCCATTCTTATGTTTTAAACCAATGTTATGATGTTAATGGCTTTTTGCGTGACTTTTACACTTGTCTTGGTTCACTGTGTGGTGTGGAGGCTGCAGCGCCTCAGACTGGAAGAAGGTGAGAACAGCAGAGAGGATCATGGGGGCTCCCCTTCCATCCATTAAAGACATTTCATCCCAGCGCTGCGTGTCCCGTGACATAATCAATGACCCCTCACCCCCCCACCATGGACTGTTCTACCTGCTGCCCTCTGGGAAGAGGCTTCCCAGCATTCAATGCAGGACCAGCAGGTTCTGCAGCAGCTTCTTCCCCACCGCCATCAGGCTGATGAAACCAAACCAATGTTCAGATCCCTTTAAATAGAATTCAACTCAGTGTTTCTTCTGCATTTTGCACCATATTTATTTACTTATGTATTTTGTACTAAACTGATCCCTCCATATCAATGCCTTTTGTTCATGTCTCTCCTACATTGTTTACATGTGATCACTGCTGCACTTAAATGGAAATGTTCATTTCACTGCTATGCTGCTCTTTTGTATACATCTTGTTGATGGGGTTGCTAGTTCTCTGCGTACTGCCTTAGATAACGCAGCTCCTTTCAAAATGAAAACCGTTAAAAATAGAAAGCTTGCTCCTTGGTTTAATGCAGAGCTGCGTACTTTGAAGCAAAATGCTAGGAAACTGGAGAGAAAATATCGCTCCACAGGCCTGCGAGAGTCCTTCCTAGTCTGGAAAAATGGTTTACTGCTGTATAAGAGGACCCTTTGTAAAGCAAGAGCAGCATACTTCTCCTCATTAATAGAGGAGAATAAGAATAATCCTAGATTTCTTTTTAATACAGTTGCCAAACTCACCCAGAGCCATAGCTCTGTTGAACCGTCCATTCCACCTGCTCTTAGCAGCAATGATTTTATGGGATTCTTTATAAATAAGATTGATCTTATTAAAAATAAGATCATTAGCACTCCTCTATCCGCGATTGGTATGTCTCTGGAGGGGGGGGGGGCAGCATCTGAGGTAGTCATGGAATCTGAACCGGTTTAGACTGCTTTGATCCAGTTGAACTTTCTGAATTAGCAAATTATTGTCTTCATCTAAGCCTTCAACTTGGATGTTAGATCCAGTTCCAACCAGGTTATTTAAGGAGGTATTCCCTTTGATCTCCTCCTCCATTTTAGATGTGATTAATCTATCTCTGTTACAGGGATATGTACCTAAAGCTTTTAAGGTTGCTGTAATTAAACCTCTGCTTAAGAAACCGTCTCTTGACCCAGACGACTTGGTCAATTATAGACCTATATCCAATCTTCCTTTCTGATCTAAAATTCTTGAGAAAGTAGTTGCCAAACAAGTTTGCCATCACTTTGACCATAATTAACTTTTTGAAGAGTTTCAGTCTGGCTTTAGAGCTCATCATAGCACTGAAACAGCTCTGGTGAAAGTCACTAATGATATTCTCATGGCCTCAGATAATGGACTTGTATCTGTGCTCGTCCTGTTGGATCTTAGTGCTGCATTTGATCCAGTTGACCATAATATTCTTTTAGAAAGACTTGAATATTTTGTTGGAATTAAAGGAACAGCACTAGACTGGTTTAAATCTTATCTATCTGATCGAATTCAGTTTGTTCATGTTAATGATAGATCTTCAACACGCTCAAAGGTTACCTGTGGAGTACCACAGGGATCAGTGCTAGGACCAATTCTCTTTACTTTATACATGCTCCCAATCAGTAGAATTATTAGACAGCATGGGATTAATTTCCACTGTTATGCTGATGATACCCAGCTACACTATATTGCCAAAAGTATTTGCTCACCTGCCTTGACTCACATATGAGCTTAAGTGACATCCCGTTCCTAATCCATAGGGTTCAATATGACGTCGGTCCACCCTTTGCAGCTAGAACAGCTTCAACTCTTCTGGGAAGGCTGTCCACAAGGTTTAGGAGTGTGTTTATGGGAATTTTTGACCATTCTTCCAGAAGCGCATTTGTGAGGTCGCACACTGATGTTGGACGAGAAGGCCTGGCTCTCAGTCTCCGCTCTAATTCATCCCAAAGGTGTTCTATCGGGTTGAGGTCAGGACTCTGTGCAGGCCAGTCAAGTTCATCCACACCAGACTCTGTCATCCATGTCTTTATGGACCTTGCTTTGTGCACTGGTGCACAGTCATGTTGGAAGAGGAAGGGGCCAGCTCCAAACTGTTCCCACAAAGTTGGGAGCATGGAATTGTCCAAAATGTCTTGGTATGCTGAAGCATTCAGAGTTCCTTTCACTGGAACTAAGGGGCCAAGCCCAGCTCCTGAAAAACAACCTCACACCATAATCCCCCCTCCACCAAACTTTACACTTGGCACAATGCAGTCAGACAAGTACCGTTCTCCTGGCAACCGCCAAACCCAGACCCGTCCATCAGATTGCCAGATGGAGAAGCGCGATTCGTCACTCCAGAGAACGCGTCTCCACTGCTCTAGAGTCCAGTGGCGGCGTGCTTTACACCACCGCATCCGACGCTTTGCATTGCACTTGGTGATGTATGGCTTGGATGCAGCTGCTCGACCATGGAAACCCATTCCATGAAGCTCTCTGCGCACTGTTCTTGAGCTAATCTGAAGGCCACATGAAGTTTGGAGGTCTGTAGTGATTGACTCTGCAGAAAGTTGGCGACCTCTTCGCACTATGCGCGTCAGCATCCGCTGACCCCGCTCCGTCAGTTTACGTGGCCTACCACTTCGTGGCTGAGTTGCTGTCGTTCCCAAACACTTCCATTTTCTTATAATACAGCTGACAGTTGACTGTGGAATATTTAGGAGCGAGGAAATTTCACGACTGGATTTGTTGCACAGGTGGCATCCTATCACAGTTCCACGCTGGAATTCACTGAGCTCCTGAGAGCGACCCATTCTTTCACAAATGTTTGTAAAAACAGTCTGCATGCCTAGGTGCTTGAATTTATACACCTGTGGCCATGGAAGTGATTGGAACACCTGATTCCAATAATTTGGATGGGTGAGCAAATACTTTTGGCAATATAGTGTATATCTGTCTATAATCCAGATGAAGCTAACCCATTACATAGATTACAGGCATGTCTGAAGACAGAAAAACCTGGATGACTCTTAACTTTCTGCTTCTGAATGCAGACAAAACAGAAGTTACAGTCTTTGGACCAGAGTCTCTGAAAAAGAAGCTGATTAGTCAGTCACTTCATTTGGATGGGATTAAACTGATTTCAGATCATTAAGTAAAAGTGTGGAGTGACCAGCGCAGTCACCAGATCTGAGCCCCATTGAGCTGCTGTGGGAGCAGCGTGACTGTATGGAACGCAGGAAGTGCCCATTCAACCAATCCAACTGGTGGGAGCTGCTTCTGGAAGCGGGGGGGCAATTTCTCCAGATTACCTCAACAGATTAACAGCTAGAATGCCAAAGGTCTGCAATGCTGGAATTGCTGCAAATGGAGGATTCTTTGACCAAAGCAAAGTTTGATGTAAATAAAATGTTATTTCAAATACAAAACATTATTTCTAACCTTGTCAATGTCTGGACTCTATTTTCTATTCATTTCACAACATACGGTGGTGAATAAGTGTGACTTTTCAGGAAAACACTAAATTGCTTGGGTGAGTATATATATATATATATATATATATATATATATATATATATGCATGTATGTATATATGTGTATGTATACAGATTAATGAGTGCTGAGCTTTATTCTTTCAGCCTCAGTGAGGCTGTTTGTAGAGCAGATAGAGCTTCTTCCATAACAAACCAGATTCTTTCTCCAGGTTTATTCATAACATGTTACGGTTTAACCAAAGTGTGTAATTAGTTTAACTCGGATTATTTTCCATTATTGTCAGTAAGGAGGAAGGATCAGAACAGGATCAGAACAGGATCAGAACAGGATCAGAACAGGGATGATTACTATGCAATAAAGGCCGTATGAACGGTTCTCTCTTTGTAAAAATGTAATAAAAAGCCGACTGAGTGAAATCCATCTATCTCCATTCATTTAACTGGTGTGAACGGTTGAATACTTTTTTTCCACGACACTGTGTTCCGGTTTCTGCTCCCGTTGCAGCAGGGCAGCTAATTTACCCTCTGATGGACGATAAAAGACATTTCTGTTTTAAAGTTTAGAAAGTCTGAGGTTTATTTTCTCCCTGACGACGTGCCGCAGGACGTAGCGCCATCACAGAACCAAGGGGTCATGTGATGTCACCCCATTTGGAGCAGGACTGCCTGTTTGGGCAGCGCCATGGTCAGAGTCATTAGAGGCATCTGTTAACCGTAATTAACCTGAAGAGAAATAATTGCATTGGGGGCCCGGGGGCTGCAGTGGTTCTCTGATGTTTACTGCCGGCTGATTAATCTGGGAACTAATTACAGTCGCCATGCCGACGCTATCGGACATTTGACAGGAGAACGGGGGGTTTGGGTCGGAGCATGGAGTCCAGGACAGATGGGAGGACGGCAGACGGACAATCTTCATCATCATCACCATCATAATCTTCATCACCATCTTCATCCTCCTCTAGCCTGAAGCTTCCCCTCATTGGTTTCATTTATATTTTATCCTCCAATCATCTCTGAAACTTTGCTTCTTTCATTCAATTCATATTAATATAATCTTTAATTTTGATAGAAATATTTGGTGAAGTTCCTTTTAAAGAGCCTCTGCTCCCAGCGTCTGATTGGCTGCCCTCCGCAGAGTCTTCATGCTGGACGCTGCAGCGCGTTCTGGACGCTGCAGCGCCGCCATATTTTCCTGTGAAGGAGGAGGAGTAATTGGACTCCCATCATTTTCTTTCCCGCTGTGAAACCAACATGGCTGCCAGCCAGACCCACTGCTATAAAATACAGCAAACAGTCTGATACTGCAGGCCGCTGGGAGGATCAACCTCACCTGCTCGGCTGGAGACCAGCCGTCTGTTAACAAAGGGTTAATTTTCTGTGCAAACATCAGCAGAGCTTCCTGCTGGCTTCCCAGTTTCCTGATGAGGAGTCATCCTGAGCAGCAGCTGGATCAGCATTTCCACTCTGTCATAGCCTTCCTCTCTACTGACCACGACTGACCATTACTGACCATTACTGACCATTACTGACCATTACTGACCATTACTGACTACTACTGACCATTACTGACCACGACTGACCATTACTGACCATTACTGACTACTACTGACCATTACTGACTACTACTGACCATTACTGACCATTACTGACTACTACTGACCATTACTGACCATTACTGACTACTACTGACCATTACTGACCATAACTGACCATTACTGACTACTACTGACCATTACTGACCATTACTGACCATTACTGACCACGACTGACCATTACTGACCATTACTGACTACTACTGACCATTACTGACTACTACTGACCATTACTGACCATTACTGACTACTACTGACCATTACTGACCATAACTGACCATTACTGACTACTACTGACCATTACTGACCATTACTGACCACGACTGACCATTACTGACCGTTACTGACCATTACTGACCACGACTGACCATTACTGACCATTACTGACCATTACTGACCATTAGTGACCATTACTGACCATTACTGACCATTACTGACTACTACTGACCATTAGTGACCATTACTGACCATTACTGACCACTACTGACCATTAGTGACCATTACTGACCATTACTGACTACTACTGACCATTAGTGACCCCTACTGACCATTACTGACCACGACTGACCATTACTGACCATTACTGACCCCTACTGACCATTACTGACCACGACTGACCATTACTGACCATTAGTGACCATTACTGACCATTACTGACCATTACTGACCACTACTGACCATTACTGACCATTACTGACCATTACTGACCATTACTGACCATTACTGACCATTACTGACCATTACTGACCATTACTGACCATTACTGACCACTACTGACCATTACTGACCATTACTGACCCTTACTGACCATTACTGACCACGACTGACCATTACTGACCACGACTGACCATTACTGACCATTAGTGACCATGACTTAACGTCTATGATGATTGAGACCTAAACTCTACATCTGAGCAGGTTCTGAACCGTAGAGACGGAGCTCCGCAGCTCGTACCTGAGAGGCGGAGGTCGTACCTGAGAGGCGGAGGTCGTACCTGTGAGGCGAAGGTCGTACCTGAGAGGCGGAGGCGGTGGACGCTTTGACACGCTGCTGGAACAAGACGCTCAGGATCCGGTTCTGCTGCTCCAGGTCAAACACACGAGTCCGCAGCTTCACACACTCCTCCTTCAGGTCCTGTGAACAACAGCAATGACTGAGACACTGACCCGCCCACCTGAGGAAGAAGCTCCGCCCACCTTCCCACAGACACCTACCTTCTGTGTGAGGAGGGCCTGCACCACCTGGTTGGCCACCTAGAACAGACACAGAGGTTAGCGTGCTGCTCCTGATGACGCTGAGAGACGCTTCACTTTCTTCCTGAATGAAAAAGTCTTTCAGCTCATAAAGATCTGATGATCCTCCTGCAGCGTTGCTCTGCGTACGGAGCAGACTGCTGCTTCACACCCAGGTTCCTGGAACCTGCAGAGTTCTTCACGCTAGTTTTTATATTCATGGGGTATTTTCCATGGACCAACAGCTTCTCATGCTGTAGTTTCCTGGAAGCTTCCTGAGATCCTGCTTCAGGTCAAAGGAAGGACGTTTCATCCAAATAACCTGGAAGCAGGAGGAGAGCTCCAGGAGGAGAGCTCCAGGAGGAGAGCTCCAGGAGGGGAGCTCCAGGAGGGGAGCTCCAGGGGGAGCTCCAGGAGGAGAGCTCCAGGAGGAGAGCTCCAGGAGGAGAGCTCCAGGAGGAGAGCTCCAGAAGGGAGCTCCAGGAGGAGAGCTCCAGAAGGGAGCTCCAGGAGGAGAGCTCCAGGAGGGGAGCTCCAGGAGGGGAGCTCCAGGGGGAGCTCCAGGAGGAGAGCTCCAGGAGGAGAGCTCCAGGAGGAGAGCTCCAGGAGGAGAGCTCCAGAAGGGAGCTCCAGGAGGAGAGCTCCAGGAGGGGAGCTCCAGGAGGAGAGCTCCAGGAGGAGAGCTCCAGGAGGAGAGCTCCAGGAGGAGAGCTCCAGAAGGGGAGCTCCAGGAGGAGAGCTCCAGGAGGGAAGCTCCAGGAGGAGAGCTCCAGGAGGAGAGCTCCAGGAGGAGAGCTCTAGGAGGAGAGATCCAGGAGGGGAGCTCCAGGAGGAGAGCTCTAGGAGAAGAGCTCCAGGAGGAGAGCTCCAGGAGGAGAGCTCCAGGAGGAGAGCTCCAGGAGGGAAGCTCCAGGAGGAGAGCTCTAGGAGGAGAGCTCCAGGAGGAGAGCTCTAGGAGGAGAGCTCCAGGAGAGAGCTCCAGGAGGAGAGCTCTAGGAGGAGAGCTCCAGGAGAGAGCTCCAGGAGGGAAGCTCCAGGAGAGAGCTCCAGGAGGAGAGCTCCAGGAGGAGAGCTCCAGGAGGGGAGCTCCAGGAGGAGAGCTCTAGGAGAAGAGCTCCAGGAGGAGAGCTCCAGGAGGAGAGCTCTAGGAGGAGAGCTCCAGGAGAGAGCTCCAGGAGGAGAGCTCTAGGAGGAGAGCTCCAGGAGGAGAGCTCCAGGAGGGAAGCTCCAGGAGGAGAGCTCCAGGAGGAGAGCTCTAGGAGGAGAGCTCCAGGAGAGAGCTCCAGGAGGGAAGCTCCAGGAGAGAGCTCCAGGAGGAGAGCTCCAGGAGGAGAGCTCCAGGAGGGGAGCTCCAGGAGGAGAGCTCTAGGAGAAGAGCTCCAGGAGGAGAGCTCCAGGAGGAGAGCTCTAGGAGGAGAGCTCCAGGAGAGAGCTCCAGGAGGAGAGCTCTAGGAGGAGAGCTCCAGGAGGAGAGCTCCAGGAGGAGAGCTCCAGGAGGAGAGCTCCAGGAGGAGAGCTCTAGGAGGAGAGCTCCAGGAGAGAGCTCCAGGAGGAGAGCTCCAGGAGGAGAGCTCCAGGAGGGGAGCTCCAGGAGGAGAGCTCTAGGAGAAGAGCTCCAGGAGGAGAGCTCCAGGAGAGAGCTCCAGGAGGAGAGCTCCAGGAGGAGAGCTCCAGGAGGAGAGCTCCAGGAGAGAGCTCCAGGAGGAGAGCTCCAGGAGGAGAGCTCCAGGAGGAGAGCTCTAGGAGGAGAGCTCCAGGAGGGAGCTCCAGGAGGAGAGCTCTAGGAGAAGAGCTCCAGGAGGAGAGCTCCAGGAGGAGAGCTCCAGGAGGAGAGCTCCAGGAGGGAAGCTCCAGGAGGAGAGCTCTAGGAGGAGAGCTCCAGGAGGAGAGCTCTAGGAGGAGAGCTCCAGGAGAGAGCTCCAGGAGGAGAGCTCTAGGAGGAGAGCTCCAGGAGAGAGCTCCAGGAGGGAAGCTCCAGGAGAGAGCTCCAGGAGGAGAGCTCCAGGAGGAGAGCTCCAGGAGGGGAGCTCCAGGAGGAGAGCTCTAGGAGAAGAGCTCCAGGAGGAGAGCTCCAGGAGGAGAGCTCTAGGAGGAGAGCTCCAGGAGAGAGCTCCAGGAGGAGAGCTCTAGGAGGAGAGCTCCAGGAGGAGAGCTCCAGGAGGGAAGCTCCAGGAGGAGAGCTCCAGGAGGAGAGCTCTAGGAGGAGAGCTCCAGGAGAGAGCTCCAGGAGGGAAGCTCCAGGAGAGAGCTCCAGGAGGAGAGCTCCAGGAGGAGAGCTCCAGGAGGGGAGCTCCAGGAGGAGAGCTCTAGGAGAAGAGCTCCAGGAGGAGAGCTCCAGGAGGAGAGCTCTAGGAGGAGAGCTCCAGGAGAGAGCTCCAGGAGGAGAGCTCTAGGAGGAGAGCTCCAGGAGGAGAGCTCCAGGAGGAGAGCTCCAGGAGGAGAGCTCCAGGAGGAGAGCTCTAGGAGGAGAGCTCCAGGAGAGCTCCAGGAGAGAGCTCCAGGAGGAGAGCTCCAGGAGGAGAGCTCCAGGAGGAGAGCTCTAGGAGAGAGCTCCAGGAGGAGAGCTCCAGGAGGAGAGCTCCAGGAGGAGAGCTCCAGGAGGAGAGCTCCAGGAGGAGAGCTCCAGGAGGAGAGCTCAGGAGAGAGCTCCAGGAGAGAGCTCCAGGAGGAGAGCTCCAGGAGGAGAGCTCTAGGAGAAGAGCTCCAGGAGGAGAGCTCCAGGAGAGAGCTCCAGGAGGAGAGCTCTAGGAGGAGGCTCAGGAGAGCTCCAGGAGGAGAGCTCCAGGAGGAGAGCTCCAGGAGAAGAGCTCCAGGAGGAGAGCTCCAGGAGAGAGCTCCAGGAGGAGAGCTCTAGGAGGAGAGCTCCAGGAGAGAGCTCCAGGAGGAGAGCTCCAGGAGGAGAGCTCCAGGAGGAGAGCTCCAGGAGGAGAGCTCCAGGAGGAGAGCTCCAGGAGAGAGAGCTCCAGGAGAGAGCTCCAGGAGAGAGCTCCAGGAGGGGAGAGCTCCCAGGCGGAGAGCTCCAGGAGAGAGCTCCAGGAGAGAGCTCCAGGAGGAGAGCTCCAGGAGAGAGCTCCAGGAGAGAGCTCCAGGAGGAGAGCTCCAGGAGGAGAGCTCCAGGAGGAGAGCTCCAGGAGGAGAGCTCTAGGAGGAGAGCTCCAGGAGAGAGCTCCAGGAGGAGAGCTCCAGGAGAGAGCTCCAGGAGAGAGCTCCAGGAGGAGAGCTCCAGGAGGAGAGCTCCAGGAGGGGAGCTCCAGGAGGAGAGCTCCAGGAGGAGAGCTCTAGGAGGAGAGCTCCAGGAGGAGAGCTCTAGGAGAAGAGCTCCAGGAGGGAGCAGGAGGATTCCTGATCAGGACTCAGAGATGCAGGACTTCACCTTCAGAAGGTCTCATTATGGAAATGTAGACCCCACCCTCAGGTTTCTACTGGGAGCTTCACTAAGCATAGAACATGATAAAAGAGCTAAATCTGTCTGCAGTGACCTCTGACCTCTGACCCTGCTGGTTCCTCCTGAACCACCAAAGGTTTCCTGATGAACAAAGTGAAGCACTGACCTCATCCAGGCAGCGTTCATACTGCTTCCTCTGGTTGTCATTTTCCAGCGACAGAGCCGAGTTCTCCGCCTGGAGGAGACAGGAACCGTCAGCAGGATTTCCTTCACATTATTACAGAAATATTCACTGGAGTTAAAAGCCTTCAGCTGATCCAAAATGCTGCAGCCAGAGTCCTGATGGAAATGAAAAAGAGAGATCATATCTCTCCTATCCTGTTAAATCCAGAATAGAATCTAAACTCCTTCTCTCAGAGGCTCAGATTATCCTGAGTTATCTCTGTAGTCGTTACAATGATCGGTCAGTCTGGGATTAGTTTAGATTTCACTCTAGGATTTAAGTTAGGCTTGGATTAGTTATTCTGCTTTTACTGTAAACAATCACACTTTGAATAACTGCTTAGTTTTGCTGTGTCTGTTTGGTGGTTTTTCAGTTATCTCCCATCCTTCCCTTTGGTCATTCTTTGTTTCCCTTCATTCCAGTTATTTCCCAGTTTAGCCATATTCTCTCCTTTCCCCTTAGCTGCTTCTGTCCACAGCTGCTCCCAATTAGCTAATCACTCCATTCATTGTTCTCTCCTATATATACTCCTCCTCTGCCGTTCCTCATGCGGGATCCTCATCACTCCTCTGAGCTTTTCCTGCTTCCTGATTTTCACTGACCTCCAAGGATTTTTCCAGGTAGACCAGGTCCTCAGAGGACGCAGCCTCTGCAACAAAACGCCCTCCATGTATGTTTCTCCCTGGTGTCTCCTAGAATTTTTTCCCTCTTTATTATTTCTGGATGCATGCTTCTGTTACCAACTACCTCTAAATTAAATCTGCAAGAAATCCTCTGCATTTTGGTCCTCAACCAACTTTCACTAAACTTGGCTGCTATAGGCTTAGACTGCTGGAGGACATGGGGAGCCCTTTTTCATCATTCTAGCTCTATTCTCCCACTCTGCAGAATCTGTTTAACTGATTCGTTCTCAGAGCTTCCTGTGGAGCTAGTTTACTGTTACCTTTCTATCATAGATCAGTGCTTCTATGATCTTTTTCTATGTCTGCTTCTGTCTGCAGGTGGCTGTTCTCAGCCCAGTTAAAGACCAGTGGTTGGATGAAGCTGAAACCATTTTCAGGGTGGAGGCGTTTCTCCAACGGATGCAGGAAATATTTCTACTTGAATGTTTCAGGTTTTACATGCAGACAAACTGGACCAGAGTTACCAGATCAGGACGGATCTCTAACATCAGCCTCTGCACTGGTTCTGCTGATCCCACATTCTGTCTTACTGAAGCTTCTGTTGCAGGTCTGGTCCGAGGCTCCAGGGTCTGTTCTTCAGGGGCCTATGAACCTCTGCTGGAACAGTTCTGGTTCCTCCTCATTTAACAACTGCAGCCATTTGCAGAACGCTTCAAACGGACCTCATTGCATGAAGGCCAAAATGGGTCCAAATAACGGGACCTTATCTCAGACTGATGGGAACCTGAGACAGAACCGGGTCTGAAGGCTGCCAGCAGTTCCACAGAAACACTGATGGACTCAGTTCTGCCTGGGTTCTGGATATAATGCTAACAGAACCGTCTCATTCCAGAGAACCATCCGGCCGAGAAAGTTCCCAGAATCCTGTGGGAAATGTTTTACTGGAGTTCAGTTTGACACTTTGGGAAACTATCCTAAAGGTACGAAACCATCAGTGCAAAAAGAGCAGAGTTGGTGGAGGCAGCATCATGCTGTGGGCTTCCTGGTCATCAGAACCAAGCAGCTACACCGGGACTGAGCCCTAACTTGACTGAGCTCCATCGATGGCCCAAATGATGAGGATCAGAACCAGTACAGCAGGGCGTTTGGACCCAAAGCCGACCAGGTTTACCTCCAGGGCTCGAAGACGCTCCAGCAGAGGGTTGCTGTCCTTTAGGTTGTCCTCGGGTATCGTCTCGGCTGCCGTGGCTGCGGGACCCTCCAGACTGTCCTGTTGCTTCCACATCTCCTCCAGGAGTTTGTCCTGGGAACACAAGCAGAGACGTAAGGCTTCAAGAAACCAAACCCTGGTTCTGTTGGGCTGTTAGCAGAACCGCATCAACAGCTGAGAGTGTTCAGAGTAAGGGACAGTGATCTGCAGAGACTGGACAAACAAACAGGACCACCCACTCCCACCTGGGCTTTCTACCCTCTAAGGCAGGGGTGCCAACCAGTCGATCGCGGTCTACCAGTCGATCACGGTCTACCAGTCGATCGAGGTCAACCAGTCGATCGAGGTCAACCAGTCGATCGCGGTCTACCAGTCGATCGCGGTCAACCAGTCAATCGCGGTCTACCAGTCGATCGCGGTCTACCAGTCGATCGCAGTCAACCAGTCGATCGAGGTCAACCAGTCGATCGCGGTCTACCAGTCGATCGCGGTCAACCAGTCAATCGCGGTCTACCAGTCGATCGCGGTCTACCAGTCGATCGAGGTCAACCAGTCGATCGCGGTCAACCAGTCGATCGAGGTCTACCAGTCGATCAAGGTCTACCAGTCGATCGCAGTCAACCAGTCGATCGAGGTCAACCAGTCGATCGCGGTCTACCAGTCGATCGCGGTCAACCAGTCAATCGCGGTCTACCAGTCGATCGCGGTCTACCAGTCGATCGCGGTCTACCAGTCGATCGCGGTCTACCAGTCGATCGCGGTCTACCAGTCGATTGAGGTCAACCAGTCGATCGCGGTCTACCAGTCGATCGAGGTCAACCAGTCGATCGCGGTCTACCAGTCGATCGCGGTCTACCAGTCGATCGAGGTCAACCAGTCGATCGAGGTCTACCAGTCGATCGCGGTCAACCAGTCGATCGCGGTCTACCAGTCGATCGCGGTCTACCAGTCGATCGCGGTCTACCAGTCGATCGCGGTCTACCAGTCGATCGCGGTCTACCAGTCGATTGAGGTCAACCAGTCGATCGCGGTCTACCAGTCGATCGAGGTCAACCAGTCGATCGCGGTCTACCAGTCGATCGCGGTCTACCAGTCGATCGAGGTCAACCAGTCGATCGAGGTCAACCAGTCGATCGCGGTCTACCAGTCGATCGCGGTCTACCAGTCGATCGAGGTCTACCAGTCGATCGCGGTCTACCAGTCGATCGCGGTCTACCAGTCGATCGAGGTCAACCAGTCGATCGAGGTCAACCAGTCGATCGTGGTCTACCAGTCGATCGCAGTCTACCAGTCGATCGAGGTCTACCAGTCGATCGAGGTCAACCAGTCGATCGCGGTCTACCAGTCGATCGCGGTCTACCAGTCGATCGCGGTCTACCAGTCGATCGCGGTGTACCAGTCGATCGCGGCCTACCAGTCGATCGCGGTCTACGAGTCGATCGAGGTCAACCAGTCGATCGAGGTCAACCAGTCGATCGTGGTGTACCAGTCGATCGCGGTCTAGCAGTCGATCGCGGTCTAGCAGTCGATCGCGGTCTACCAGTCGATCGCGGTCTACCAGTCGATAGCGGTCTACCAGTCGATCGAGGTCAACCAATCGATCGCGGTCTACCAGTCGATCGTGGTCAACCAGTCGATCGCGGTCTACCAATCGATCGCAGTCTACCAGTCGATCGTGGTCTACCAGTCGATCGCAGTCTACCAGTCGATCGCGGTCTACCAGTCAATCGCGGTCTACCAGTCGATCGCGGTCTACCAGTCGATCGCAGTCTACCAGTCGATCGAGGTCAACCAGTCGATCGCGTTCTACCAGTCGATCGCGGTCTACCGGTCGATCGCGGTCTACCGGTCGATCGCGGTCAACCAGTCGATCGCGGTCTACCAATCGACCCCAGAGGAGAACATCCAGGAACACCTCCAGGAACAGACCGACCCAAGAGGAGAACATCCAGGAACAGACCGACCCCAGAGGACAACATCCAGGAACGGACTGACCCCAGAGGACAACATCCAGGAACGGACTGACCCCAGAGGACAACGTCCAGGAATGGACCGACCCCAGAGGACAACATCCAGGAACGGACTGACCCCAGAGGACAACATCCAG